ATCATTCTTGGCCGCTAGAATCGGCGTGTCCTTCAATGGAAACGGTGGCTGCATGACGTTGTTTTGCATCATGAAGTTGACAACCGATTGTAAGTCTGCCAACTTGTTTTCTATTCCCTTCATCTCGCCATCTCTCCTCAGGCATCTATCTTTCCATACCTGGAGGTCGTTTTCGTTGTAATACTCGTCTCAGCCTACTTTCTTAGGTGGGTCTCCCTTTTGTCCGACGTCCTTCTCCCTTGGATTCTGATCCTGAGGTTCTTCATTACAGTTTTTCTTCTCTACATTAGCATCAACATACTTATCACTCTCGCTAGGGATGTCGTCCCTGACCTTTTCTTTCTGCTCGTCGCTAGCCATCTGTTCTCCTTACTTTCCCATAGATAGTGCCAAATTGTGGGTGTTGATTTTTGACCACACAACCAAATAGGAAAACTCAGCAGAATAGCACTGGCATAATAGATTTAGCCCGAACAACTTGCCACAGAAAGATAAGAATCCGATGGTGGTTCGTCCACCTAGGGGCACTCCGATGATCAGGTCAGTAATCAATATCTCTCAAAGATAACAAATAATACTTAACTCACTAGACAGAGCATAAAAAGCATACCTTAGACCCACGAGGGTGCCTTACTTTTATAGCCAGCGCTAACCTGATCCCTGCAGAAGCCTAGCTTCAATAGACTTTGGCTCAATGCTCATCTTGGACTCCCAGTTAGATAAAGATAAACTCCCTAAGAGCTTTATCTTTATCCAGACTAAGGTCCTCTTCCATTTTAGGACTCTTGTCCCTTATCCGCTCATCTCAGATTCTGATATCTTCAAAGATAATCTCGGCCCAGCCGAGATCATCTCACACATGACCAAGCCACGTGGCACTCTAGCTGACACGTCGGCGTCACCTTGGCCATGTGTTGTCATTTACAAAATATGCCCCCACATTTTTTTTTTTATAAAATTTAAATTTCATGTAAAATCTGATAAAGGATTAAATATGACCTAATAATGGCCGAATATGGCAGTTAGATATGGTGATAAGCTATTGTTGAAAATAATATCATTTTATGATTATAAGAACCAACTACTAAAATTTATAAATTGTTGAGATTTTAAAAATAAAAGTAGCCATATTTAAGATTTTTTTTTATAGATATACATAGAAAATATAAACACAAATTTTATTAAAAATTATTTTAAATATGATTTGTAAATTATTATTTTTTATTATGATAAAAAATATAACAAAATAAAGAGGTAGTATAACCTAAATAAATCACTAACGTGTGCTTGGTTAGGGGATCCGAGAAGTGATTTGGAAATAAAAAAGGAAAATGTGTGTGAAATTAGGTGAAATATAAGTATATTTTCGAGAATTTTTTTTAAAGTCCCTGGTATTAAGATTTTATAGCATAAAGGACACTCAATATTTTTATAATGTCTAAAGTCCCTCAACATCAATCTAGAGAAAATTCGATCCAGATAATTTCTTTGGATGGATTTTCTTTGAACTTCACAGAGAATTTCTTTGGTCGAATTTTCTCTGGACTTCATAGAGAAATTCTGGTTCATAGAGAATTTCTCTGGACGAATTTTCTCTAGACTTCATAGAGAAATTCTAATTCACAGAGAATTTCTCTGGTCGAATTTTCTCTGGACTTCACATAGAAATTCTGGTTCATAAGGATTCATTATTATTGAGAATTTTTCTGGACTATAAATTTGAATTGTTGAGAATTTCTCTAGACTATAAATCTATAATTTATTGCAGGGTGCATTCATAAGGCTTCATTATTATTCAGAAGCAAAAGAGAAACAATAATTATAAGCAAACTAGAGAATTTTGGAAAGATAAAAAATGAAGTTGGAAGAGAATAGAGAATTTCAATTTTCTCTGGTTGCCTCTTTAGGTGCTGAAAAAACTTCAGGGGCCTTATTCACCACAGGCTCAGGTTGTATTGGGACCTCTGGTTCTTGATCATGCTCTTCATCGTCTTCTTCACTTTCACTTTCCTGTAATTCAACATCATATTTGAGTGATAGTTTTCCAAGACTCGTCATTTTTTTTAACCAACTATTAATATAATGCCACAAGTGAAAAACATATAAATCCTGAGCTACTCAAAACCAAGAAAACTTCACTAAACTCAACGAGTCTTTGTCCTAGATACTCAGGGTCCCTCAACATCGATCTAGAGAAAATTCGATTCAGAGTATTTCTCTAGACGATTTTTTTGCATCAGATACAAATTCTATTACAGGGTAAATCTCTATCTCTTCCAAACTAGGAAAATATTAACAGATAAGAAAACAAAAGAGAACAGAACTATTAATCAAGAACTAAAAGTCATAATTGATATAGAGAAAATTATAGTTCTCTCGTCTCTTCCAACTTCATTCCTCATCTTTCAAACTAGAAAAAAATTGAAATTTCTCTGAGTATCAAAGAAATCCAGAGAAAATTGTGTAGAGAAAATTTGTGTGGCTCTATATTAGATTTTTTTTTTTTTTTTTCAAGTTTTTCTTTTTTTTTTTTTTTTTTTGGGTGGCTTTGTGTGGCTCTATCTAGAGAAAATTGTGTTAGAGAAAATTTGTGTGGCTTTGTGTGGCTCTATCCAGACAAAATTTGTATGGCTTTTTTCCAATTTTCTCTGATTTTTTGTTGTTTAATTTTCTCTGGACTATAAGACATTCACTCAACAACAAACTAGAAAAAATTGAACAACCACTATTTTGATCAATTTTCTCTAGACTGTAAGACATTCATACAACAACAAACCAGAGAAATTAAACAACAACAAACTAGAGAAAATTGAACAACCACCATTTTGACCAATTTTCTCTGGACTGTAAGACATTCATACAACAGCAAACCAGAGAAAATTGAACAACAATAAACCAGAGAAAATTGAACAACAACAAACCAGAGAAAATTGAACAACTACCATTTTGACCGATTTTCTCTGGACTGTAAGACTTTCATACAACAGCAAACTAGAGAAAATTGAACAACAATAAACTAGAGAAAATTGAACAATAACAAACCAGAGAAAATTGAACAACCACCATTTTGACCAATTTTCTCTGGCCTGTAAGACATTCATACAACAGCAAACCAGAGAAAATTGAACAACAACAAACCAGAGAAAATTGAACAAACACCATTTTGACCAATTTTCTCTAGACTGTAAGACATTCATACAACAACAACCTAGAAAAAATTGAACAACTATCATTTTGACCAATTTTCTCTGGACTGTAAAACATTCATATAACAGCAAACTAGAGAAAATTAAACAACAACAAATCAGAGAAAATTGAACAACCACCATTTTGTCCAATTTTCTCTAGATTGTAAGACATTTATTCAACAGCAAATCAAAAAAAATTGAACAACAACAAACCAGAGAAAATTGAACAACTACCATTTATCCAACAACAGAATAAATATATAACCAACAACAGGCAAGAAAATTGTCAATTGATACAAAATCTCAAAGAATAACTTGCTGAATCATGAATGACTCTCTCAATTTTGATAGAAACCAAATAGGACATCAACCAACAGAGAAGTTGAATTTTTTCTCCAATAAATCAAATCAAACTTGCAATACAAATCAAAGTTAGATAATTTTTTTTTCTTCAAACTTCAATGGCAGAAGAGAGTTGGTAAGTCTATTTTCTGTTAACCTTTTTCAGGCAACCCCAAGGTCTGTAAGCTGCCACGACGATATGAGACCAATTTCCAACATCAACAACAACTCTATTAAGCAAAACAAATAGGAACAAATAGCCGAATATTAACCTCTCATATCATTACATGTAAAGTAAAGGTAATCCAATAACCCCCAAGCTCATAACATCACAACATATCAAGAGATGTCTATACACTTATACAGTACGTAACAAAATGGCTTTGTCAAGAGATGTTTAGAGAGAGAGAGATCTTCACATCAAAGAATAATTTATTTTTCTATAAATTTATGTACAACAACAAATAATGACACTTCAAGAACTACAAGAATTCCAATCAAAAGCTTAAAAACAAATTGCTCTACAACAATGAATTTCTGTTTTCTTACAATGTTTTCATATCCTTAGTTCTCTGCAATAGAGTACTTAATCTAATTCCAGAGAAAAATAAGTTTACCTGTAATCTTTTTGTAATCAAAGGCAACAATTGTCATCTGGGTCTTATTCGGAAAACTTGATTGTACCATATCGAGTGGAGTATATATCATACTTCACAGGCCTAGCATGCCAGAGAAATGTTGTTGTACTTTCTTTACTCTCCGTTACATCTCGAGATATCTCTTTTGTGGGATTGAAAGGAGTTCGACGCCAACGGCGACGACAAGATCTCAACGACGGAACTCGTATCAGTCATGAAAGCTCTCCAATCCAACACATCGGAGGATGAAGTGAAGTGGATGATGGAGTAGCTTGACACCGACCTCAATGGCTTCATTAGGACAAGAATGAAGTGATCTTGTCTTTGAGATCGACGAGAGAGAGAGAAGAGTAGCAGGATATATCAAATTTTTTTGTGATAGATGGCTATAAGATTTAGGGATTTTAGACATCAAAAAATAATATTATGGATCTCTTCCATTACTAAAAATGAAAGAGGACCTTACACTAATTTTTCTTATATTTTATTCATATTGTATCTACTTTTTCTATTTTCATTTTTTTTCCAAATTCCTTTATAAATCTCCTCACAAAATGCAACGTAGTCAAAATATATTAATTTTTTTTTAAGATGATGCTAAAAAAGACCTAAACATTGCCCTAATTTTTCCCAATTTTTTTAGATGATGCTAAAAAAGACCTAAACATTGCCCTAATTTTTTTCCAATTTTTGGTCAACAGTATTTACTGAATTTTGAAAAAAGAAAGTGCGTCAGTTGAATGCAGCGAGTATACGTCTCAGTATACTCGAGAGAGTATATCCGTACTGAAAAGATCATTACCTCATGACAGTTATAACAAACTCGCGCGCTTTCTCTCTCTCTCTCTCTACATAAGCAGACCCTAATTTGCATCTCCACCCGACTTTCACTCTTTAAAACTTTACTCTCTCTCTCTCTGTTGCTGAATCTCTGAGTATTTGGGTTTTAAATTTTGAAGGAAGAAAAATGGCGGCACAACTGGTGGCTCCGCCGCAACTACCAGCGCAAAAGGCGTCGCTATACGTGGGCGATTTGGACCCAGAAGTGATGGAGATGGAGCTCATTGAAGCTTTCCGTCAGATAGGTCCGGTGGCCTCTGTTCGCATCTGCAGAGACATACTTTCCAATCGATCCCTTTGCTATGGCTACATCAACTTCTTATCTCACTCTGATGGTCAATTTCTCTCTCTCTCTCTCTCTCTCTCTCTCTGTCACTCTATTCGTTTGTTGCATGTGCATTTCGAAATGGGTTTCTGCTTCCCCCCCCTTTCTCTTTCTTGTATCTTGTTTATGGGTTCTTCAAGGGTTTTGGTTGTGATTCAGGGGTTCTCTGTTTTCTGTGGTGATTTGTATAATTTGTTGTGTTTCTTGTTCGGAAATTGGGTTTTCGTTCTTCGCGTTCTGTGTTCTTGGTTGTTTTAATCTGTTGTGTCTATCGATTTTCATCTACATTGTATGAGAAGTGGGTTAGGGTTTTTCTCTTCCTGTTTTGTTGAGCTTTATGTAATTGGAACCCCATTAATTTATTAGACTCCTGCTCTGTCTTGTTTCTTGAAACTACATTTTTCTATTTTTGCCGATAATGATGTGTTTTCTGTTTGATTCAGGGGTCTCCATTTTCTCTGGTGATTTGGATAATTTGTTGTATTTCTTGTTTGGAAATTGGGTTTTCGTTGTTCTTGTTATGTGCTTTGAATCCAGTAAAATAATGATATCCCACGGTGAATTTGTTATATACTTTTTCTTGCTTGTGAATTGGTTGTTTTATTGTGTTCTGTTCTTGGAAATCTCTCTCTCTGTTTCTTTCTTTCTCTCTCGCTAGCTCTTTTTTTGTGCTCTCTTCTTGTATTCGAATTGGGCTAGGGTTTTGTTGAGCTTCATGTACTTGGAACCATTAATTTTATTAGACTTATGCTCTGTTTCGTTTCTTGAAACTACATGTTTGTATTATTTCTCTGATTTGTTCCTCTGTTTTGGTCAGCTTCTAAGGCTATTGCTTGTCTGAACCACACCCAATTCAAGGGAAAGCCCATGAGACTAATGTGGTGTCAGCGAGACCCTCTTAAAAGAAAGACTGGTGTTGGCAATCTCTTCGTCAAGAACCTTGACCCGTCTGTTACCAGTGCTTGCTTGGAGGGAGTTTTCTGCAAATTTGGAACTATACTTTCTTGCAAGGTGGCTGAGGAACATGGGAAGAGCAAGGGTTTTGGGTTTGTTCAGTTTGATTCAGAGGATTCATCCATGGCCGCTCTCAATGCTCTCCATGATACCATGCTTGAAGGGAAGAAATTGTAAGTGCTCCTTTATTCCTATTTTAGTCATTATTCTATCCTCTCAATGCTTATTTGTCTATGAGACAGATTTTGTTTGTTGATGCGTTGTTCTTTTTAAGATTGTGGCCATTTTCATAGTTTCTCTAGTTCAATTAAATGATTAAGTTGTAGTTTCTTTTATATTGTATGAATGGATTATTGGGTTTTTGTTTACAGACTCTCTCTCTCTCTCTCTCTCTATATATATATATATATATATCTGTGTATGTGTGTGTGTACATTTTTCCTTAATGGATGCTTAGCTTTGAAGTGACCTACACATGCTGCTTCAGTTTACTGAGGGCTTTATGTTCATATCTGATCAGCAAATTTTTAAGTTTGTTGGTTGCAGCCTTGGAGGCTTCTTCACTTTTTGCTTTCTATTTAGTTTTGTTTGATTGAGTGTTCTCCATTTTGTGCGTTCTATATGTGAGTGTCCCTCTTCTTTGTTCTCTTTTATTGGTGCTCTTCATAATGTTCATTCGTGTAATCTATAAATAAGACATGGGTTTCTTATAGGTTCTATTTCTCATTATTTGTATAACCTTTTTCACTGATGCTCTACTTTACCATCTATTGCTGTTCATTTCTGATTTTGGCATATGCATTAAATAAATTGTAAAAAGTTCAAGTATACAGTATACTTTAGGTAGGAATGAATATTACACATAGGAGCATGCATATCATTCAGAACTCCAGACTAATGATTACTGAGTTATTTGATTATTTTTGTTAGAAAGGTTTGTTACTTACTAATTGCTCTTTATATGAATTGTGGTTCTCTGCGCTCCTCTTTTCCGTTCAATTGTGTTCTTTGAAGGTGCTCTATTCCTTAGTTTGGAGTTTGGACACATGCTTGGATCTTATAGTTATAATATCATTTTGTTGTCACTTTCTTGAATGAATAATAGAAGAAAAGAGTCTTTAAGTGGTTCCCTTCCTGAAACATGTTAATAATTTATTCTTCTATTCATTCTCGTTCTTTCCAAACAGTTTTATTAAGATAATGCTGTTATAATTGGGTTAGAGTGCTGGGCCTTCCCGTATTGTTTTCGTAGTTTTTAACAAAAAATGGTTGTCAAGGCATTTTCTTGATTGTGTTTAGTCCATTATTGTTAATCTTGTGTCTTGGAAGAGGAGTAACTTTGACAAATTTATTAATCTGGTGTCCTTTCAGATATGTGTCCAAATTTGTCATGAAAAGTCAGAGGAAGGATGCCCAAGAAGAACCAAAATTCACAAATCTGTATGTGAAAAATCTCTCTGAAAATGTGACAGAGGATGTCCTTCAAGATAAATTTTCTGAATTTGGGAAGGTCTGTAATGTTTTGATCATGAAAGATGCTGATGGAAAATCAAGGGGTTTTGGATTTGTCAACTTTGAGTTACATGAAGAAGCTAAGAAGGCTGTGGAGGCCTTGAATGGTACACTACTAGGTAAACACAACTTGCCATTTGTACTCCCTTGATTTGACCTCAATGGTTTATGAAGATTAATATTGACATGCATGTATTTTTTTTATGGATCAGGATCAGAGAAGTTGTTTGTTGGAAAGGCTCAGAAGAAAGCCGAAAGGGAAGAGCTTCTGAAACGTGAATCCAAGGAGAGAATCAATTGTCATGCTGAAAAGCCAAAGGCTTCAAATCTGTATGTGAAGAATCTTGATGGATCTATCAATGACAAAATTTTAGCAGAACATTTCAGAGGTTTTGGAAAGGTAACTTCTGCAAAAGTGATGCGCTACGACAATGGGATTAGTAAGGGATTTGGCTTTGTGAGCTTCTCCAATCCTGAAGATGCAAAGAAGGCTTTGCATACATTTCATGGTTATAGCTGAATCTTATCTCTTTTTTCCTTTGTTCTCTGTATTATTAAGTTATTTTTTAGTTCTCTAAATCGAGTGTTGTTTCCATTAGGAACCATTTTCCGAGGAAGGTCTCTGTATGTGTCTATTGCTCAATGTAAAGAAGAACGCCGTAAAGAATTGCTGAGTTACTATGCACAGTACCCACTGGGGTCTTTATATTCTCCAAATTTTGATATCCTTAACCCTCGGTTCCATCCAACCTATTACAGTTTCCCTCCTCATTCTACTCCGACCCCTGTATCCTCACACATAACTTCATACCAGCTAATGATGATGAATCAAAATCTTAGAAGTGGAGGTACGCTGTATCCTTTGACGTCACAGAGTTACCAGGGAAATGTTTCCACATACGTAAGGAAATTCTATGGTTTCATGTAGTTGCTGCTTTTAACCATGCTTTTATCTACATTTGATTTTTGTTTGCATAACTTGAGAAATGCAATTGCAGGTTCCTACAAGGCAATCTCAGCAAGCGACCTACATGGACTATGTTTTCCAACATGTATGTCTCTTTTACTTTCTTATTTAATTGTGACAGATGAATTCGCCCCTTGGCATAGTGCAATACTTGCATAAAATGGCCATTGTAGATCACTTCCTGCACTTTTGGGCTATGTTTGGATCGTGGATTTGGAACGAAAAAGGAAGAAAAAGGAAAAGGCGAAAAAATTTAGCTTATATTTCACCCAAATTCATAATTCAAATACAACCTTAGAATTTTATGAGGCTAAGTATATTATTATTTCATTCACAATAGCATTTATGTAATTGCTCAACTAGTGATAAATTTCAATTGCAATAATCAAAAATTTATTTTTCATCATTCATCTTCTTCTTCTTCTTCTTCTTATTTTATTTTTAATTTTATTTTCATAAAATCTTTCTTCACAGCCAATGAGATATCCCAACTCTGGTATACTATCTACCAGACAGCTGAAATATGAGACTTGCATGGATCAGAAAATATCCCGGAAGAGAAGTGGAGCTGCAGAAGCTTCATCCAAAGGATTTGTGTCTACAAATGATCTTACTCCGGCATCATCCCTTGGAAACTGCAAGGAAAACATTGGGAAATTTCTCCACCCTCCGGCTAAGAATCTTCAGGTGTGTGTGACAACCCAAATATCTCGTCTAAAAAAGGATAGTAAACTACTTTCCTATGGTATGATAGCTAATGTAGTGATTTTCTCTTTTTCTCTTACTAGCCTGTGCTATCGACAAAGATAACAGGAATATTGATGGAATCGAAGAATACACAGGACGCAAATGCTCGGGCCATTGCAGATGGTCAAGTTGCTCAGGCATCTCAGTCTGCCCTCTGCTTGAGCCACTGATCTAACATGTCGTCTACTACTTTCTCACACAACACACTTTTTTCCGCTGCTGAATTTACAACACACTGTCGCTACATGTTTTTCTGCTGTATTGGAAGGTTTTGCTGTGCAATCGAATCATACTATAAGACTAACTGATAGGGATAAGGATTGTTTTTTTGAATTATAGTACTCCACAGAGAGCATTTTAGTTCTTAATTCGATGATACTGCGTCCTTTCCCTTTCACCATATGTACTTAGGTTTGTTTGTTGAGATTTACTAATGATGATAGATCTTGGATTTTCATGCGCCTCTGTCTTGATTTGCATACATGTCAAACAAAATTTGAACTCCAATTTTTCTAGCAGAGATCTTAAATGTTGAACAAATCTATACATTTCCTTCTAAGTCGATCTTGTATGCATAAGATTTCAATTATGCCTGCCCTTCTTCTCTGATGACTCTGTATGCATAAAATTCTTGAAAACCCACCCCCTCTCCAAAAAAAAAAAAAAAAAATTCTTGAAGGGTCTGTGAAAATACTGTTTCTGCTTACATTTACTATTTGTTTGTCTTTGAAATCTTTACTTACTACCTTGAAGGGAGTGGTTTGGAGGGGGTTCAGATGGTGGCTTTTCTTGTACATGGTGATGGTTGGATTGGGTGTGTTAATGGTGTCCTCTCTTGGTGGGATGGTCATATCCTTTGCACATGGGCTACTTACCCGTTCATTTATTAGGGTTCCCCCAACCGATTACCTTTATGGATAATTATTAGGTAGTCCTATTCTAGAAGTCCACGTGGTGTTTTCGAGAAATGAGAAATTGCAAAAACACACTAGGGCCATGTTTGTTTGGGCGGACTGGATTAGCATTCCCATGACTAATAGTTTTAGGACTACGAATTCGTTGGATTATGTATCCTATCTTAACTAATAGTCAAGTTTAAAATAATTAGTTCGTACTTCAATTATTTAATCAAACATCGGATTAGTAATTTTATTGGATTATTAGTCCAATCCCAAGCTCATGTCCACCCAAACAAACATGACCTAGATGTGTTATCGTCTGCCTTTGATCCAAGAAAGGTAGCTTTGCACTCATATAAAGTTTTTTATTATGTCATTGGTTAGGAGTCCCTCTTGAACAGTGACACATGATAAGACTATTAAATAATTACTCGTTAAAAATTATTTAATAATCTTGAAATATTACTTTAATACGTGCACGTCGTGCTCCTAACTTTTAAGACAGTACAAAAAGGGATGGATGAGATAGCCTTGTCTCTCACTTAGCCGATCATAGTGGCTAGGCTTAGCTCTGTTAACTCCATGACTACTGATCTTCACTCATCTCATGACCTCTACACTTATTAGAAAGATTATTAGAATCTGTATACAGAATGACGAGACCGGATATGATCTTATTATTTCAAAACAAATTGTCCTTAAAATGATACTTTTATTTACAAAGATGTTGATATCACTGGATAATTATAATCGTAGTTTTTTCACTGGATAATTAGTAGTTTTTCGTCATTTTCTTATGAGAGTCCTTACAAGACAATAAATGCAGCAATACATGAGAGACTTTTACCTCTCCTCTCACTAACAAGAACAACAGGAAAAGGGAAAAAAGTAGTAGTAGCAAACAACCACGGTCTTAAACGACATTGTACAGGGCAGAGAGTCACAGATACAGATAAATAGCGAATCTAAACCTTGAAGCTCATCGTCATCCGATGAGATTGATACCTTGGAGGATCAAGGAATCAGCAAGAACCTGGTTAGCAGCCTCAGAAGGATGGACACTGTCCCAAAACACATACTGAGAGGCATTACTACATGTCCCTATCGACTTTGGATTGCACAACAACGATGTTGTCTCCACCGTCCCTGTTCCGCAGCAACCTTTACTTGCTTCTGCAAAACCTGCAACCACCATTGTAAAAGTAGATGTTGTAATAAAAAATTTCACTCAAGAGGGGATGATCAGTGTGTAGCGATCGTCTGTGAATGTGATCATAGGAGTCTCTACCCTACACCCTTTGGGAGGTGAACACAAAGAGGCTAGGAAGTTTTATCCATAATCAAAACAATGAGATTAGATTATGCCAAGAGGCTCTAAATTTTTCACAAATATTCTATATGCACAAAATTAGATAACAAAACTGAAAATAAATCTCTTACATGAAGTGAGTCCCATCAGATGTGTAGGTTCCACCCATGTGTCCAGTTTCATATTTGAATTATGTGCACATAAATTTTTTTTAAAAACTTTTTCAAAAAAAAAAAAAAAAAAAAAAAAAAAAAATGAAAGGAAAACTTTGAAAATAATACCTAACAAATCTTCCACTAAAAAAATAAAATAAAAAATGGAAGACACAGAAAACAAAATAAAGAAAGAAAGAATGAAAGAAAAAGAAGTAGAGGGTGGAAAATGAGTGAGCGACCAACCGGTTGCCGAGAAGCTTATGCAATCTGATGATGAGGTCTTTCTCGTCATCTGACATTCTTCCACGCTTTATGTTTGGTCTTAGATAATTTTTCCATCTCATCCTGCAGCTCTTACCCCCTCTCATCAAACCTAATATGCACCACAGAGAGAGAGAGAGAGAGAGAGAGAGAGATATCATTCTGTATTGATTTTCTGTATAGTTTATATGGTCTAATTAAAGAAGTTTGTCTTGATAAATAATGGTGGAAGCCTAGTCTAATGGTAAATCATCTATGCACTATGCCGCTAAGATTCCTAAAAAAAAAATATTTTTTATACCAAACTAAATATAAGAATTTAGTTAAAACTTTTTTAGTAAAAAAAAAAGAAGTTAAATGGAGATGGGTAAACAAACCTTAAATAGATAGAATTAATATTTTAATAATGAAAGCAAAATTAATCCCTTTTTTCTTTCAGCAATACTACGAAATCACAAAATATGTTTGGCAAAAATCATAACAAAGACATGACCGGTTGACCAGCTAGTCAATCCTAAGCCTTGTCGGTCAGCTAGCCGATTGACTGGCCATGCCTTCGTTATAATTTTTGCCATATATTTTTCGTGAAACCTAAACTTACCATTCTAACAAAAGTAAAGAGAGTTTGGTAGGAACCTTAATGAAGGAAGAAAAAATGCCGACAAGGTAAGAGGAATACTGATCAGGAGTGAGGACTTTGTTAATGAAAGGATTGACATAGTAGTTCTGAAGAAAGTCACTGCTTCCAAAACTCAGTATGTATAATCCATCTTTCAAAATTGATGCTGCGTTTTGATTCCCTGCTATCTGTGCTAGCTTTCCTTGGTACTCCTTGTAATACTCCAACTGTTGTGACAGTGGTATTGCATGCTGCCCCACAAAATTTTTACAGTAAAAAAACAGTTTATAGTGCACTGATAGTGAAATTTCACTCTGTTTGGTTCCTGAGAAAGTGCCAAGTGAAAATACCAGGAACGATTTGAAGCAAGTACTGTAATTATTGTATGATCATGGAGTTTCCTTTTTGTTTGTGTTTTATATGCAACCATATGGATGAATGTCATAACTTTCATTGCACACATCTATTTCTAATAAAATTTATATATTTGAAATCTACTTGTTGAGATCTATGAAATAAGAACCATACTAGATATGAAATTTTGTTTTGAAAAAAAAAAAAAAACAACAAAGAAAAGAAAATCCTACAATTTTTGTGTGCATACTTGAGAAATTTTGCAATTATTATCCAGTAGACAACTGCAAAATTTATCAGTTTTTTGAAACAAAATTTCTCAAAATTTTTATATTGAATATAGATCTTGTTTAATAGATCTTCTAGAATAGGTTCTAAAAATATAAATTTTACGAAAAACAAAGGAGTTTTGGAGTGGTGTAATTTTAAAGTTTTGAACAAAAATCCATAACTATGTCCAAGTTTTTATTGTGCCAAACTTACTGAGTTTTATTTTTTATATATATAAAAAATAAAATAAAATTGTGAGACAAAGTTCAGTAAATGAAGGGCGGGCCTGGCGTAGCGGTAAAGCTATCCTTTGGTGACCTGGTGGTCATGGGTTCAAATTGGGAAATAGCTTCTCCGTTTGTGGGGTAAGACTGTGTACATCAACACTTCCCCAGACCTTGCTTAAGCGGAGTTTTGTGCACTGGATACGCTCTTTATAGAGTTCAGTAAATATGTAGATTATGAAATCTATAAAAAAATTTACCCAATATATAAAAGCACTAAATGAGATGATTCTTACATTCAAGACGGCTGTTTTGTCATCATAGCCAGATGCAGCAGAAGCAAAATTGGCTCCAATAAGAAGGTTTTTTCCAGAGGCCTGTGGGCTGAGATATGCTGGTGGGTATGTTGTAAACCCAAGTGTATCAGCTGCAAAGAGAATTTTGAATGATAATTATAGTAAGCAAATTTCTAGTTTAAGCAAAAAGACTAAAACACCCTCGTATATAAATAATTTTATTGTGTAAACCACGGATAATTTCGTCATTATCTTGTACTTCGAGTGCAGTTTACTACACGTATAATTAAACTCCTGATACAAGAGATTATGTACAAACTAAACACATGGAGTAAATTAAATCATAGTGGCGAAGTAAAATTTGCCCTAATTAGTATTTTTTCATACAAACATAGATTGGACAAGACATTAATTTGACAAAAGCCAGTCATGAGATCATCTGTTCCTAAATTTCTCTATCCCTTTGTCTTAATCCATGATAATCTTATGATACGAGGACAGAAATTTGAGTATGGAGGATTTTTTCCGACAAGCCAATCTTAAAAGTACTACTTACCAGTGAGGTCAGTGGCTAATTTGCCATTGCAAAACCTTCCAGTTGGTTTATGGTTGACGAAATCTCTCCCATAAGGTGGGTAATTAGCCTTGAAAATGGTGGGGATATAGTCATTGTTCCCAACATCCACAGCGGAGTCGCCAAATGTTATGATTGCTGGCACGAGTGTTGATGAATTTTGAGCATCCCCACCACCAATGGCTAATGCCAATGCAAATGCCCAAACCAATGCTTCTCTCATGTAAATACCCATTTTTCAACCCAAAAATGGTTTTTTTGTTTTGAAGCTTTGAGCTGAGAGTGTTGTGAACTTATAGAGTGAACAACCCAACTGAAGTATTGAGTTGAAGGAAGACTGAAAGTTGAGTAGAGATATTAATAATGACGAGTGATAGAAGTGGTTATATAGCATTAAAAGCTCACACAGAGTATGTATAGTGATTATGTAAACCCTTTTTAGGTTTGATGCCGTTGGTTGAGATCGTTCAAATGTCACTACTCAACGTTAGGTTATATTATGGAAACTACAATTATGAATCATCTAACAAGAGAGAGAAAGTAGTTGGGAGAACAATGAATGATCATGCATTGGGAGTGGCAGCCCTGAAGAAACTTCACATGCGCGGTTCTTAATTTTGTTTGTCACAGATTTTGGTTGACTTACGGTCAGTCAATTTATGAAACTATTTTTAACTTTTTAAAAAAAATCTGTTAATAATGTTTGGTATATTTTTTAAATAAAAATAGTTTAAATAAATTGGGAAAAAAAATAAAATAAAGTTGATTATTGAGAAACGGGATAAGGGAGTGTTTGGTGTAATTATTAAAACATATTATAAATTATACCTTAATGAATTATAGATTATAGTTTTAATCACAAGTTGTTAATGTAACTATTGGATTATAGATTTAAGTTGTTGTGTAGTGTTTGGTAAATAAGTTTTGAAATAACTTTTTGATGTGTAAATATTATTTTTAACCTTGTTAATTGTAAATTGAATTAACCTTTATTAGTTGTAAATTGAATTAACTTTAAGGTCTTTCTAATTTGGGGCTTGTGTTATTTTGATCTTTGACTTTTCAATTGTGACACATGTGACCATGAATTTTGAATTTTGTTTCAAATAAGGACGATTGAATATAGCATTGCTCAATTTTAAGGGTAAAGTTGTTAGTTTGATAAAATATAAACTAATTTGATAAAACTAAATGTCAAAAAAATATTTTTAAAATTTTAAAAATTATTTCTACCTACTAAAGATAAAATTATATAAAACTGATCACTCTTTTATACATTTATTTATTTACCAAAATATTTTTTTAATTATGTATTTGGATAATTATGTAACGGGTGGTCGTTTTTATTTTTATTAAATTAGTTTTTATCTTTTCAAAAGTCAAATACGACAACAACTTTGATATCATTATTAAACTAATCCAGTAAATCAAAAAATTCAAAACTAAAAACATTTCATATATTAAATATATCGGTTACACATTAAAAATCTAACAATCATCCATTACATAATAATCATTCAAATACATAATGAAAATTAATTTGGTAAAAAAAAAAAATAAATGTATACAAGATTTATTAATTTTACATAATTTTATCTTTGGTGTGTAGAAATGATTTTTAGAACTTCAAAAATATTTTTTTGACATTTATTTTTGTCAAATTAATTTATATTTTATCAAATTGACGACTTTGCCCTTGAAATTGAGCATTGATATTTTCAATTGTTCTTATTTGGAACAAGATTCAAAATTCAGGGTCAAATATGCCACAATTGAAAAGTTAGGGATCAAAGTGACCCAAGTCCCAAACTATAAGAACTGTTAGTGTAATTCGCCCTAACTTTTATTTTTTGTTATTCACTACTAGTGCACATTTCTTATAAATTAAAAAAAATTAATCCATAGTCTATTTTTTTAGTTAAAAAAAAAAACTAAGGATATAATTATAAATTAATATCCTCACAATAGAAATTGATAATTAGAAGTAGGGAATAAATAGTTTTTCAAAATTAATTTTTTTGAATTAAAATAAGTTGCTAAAATTAGAAACTGCGTAAAATAAATTTAACCAAATAATTCAAAATAACTTTTTAAAATTAAAATCTATAAATTATTCAAAATAATCCATACCAAATGCCCCTAAATATTGTCTTTAATTTTTGTTTCATGATCATCAACTTTTTAACTTATAAGAATATGAAATTGACACTTGGCTCAACTAATTGTCCATCATCCGAGGCAATAATTTGAAATTGGCTCAAGTAATTATTCACCCTCGGCAAGGGGCAATCTGATTGACTCATGTTGGTCGGTTAGATGAGTGAGGAATTTTGCCTAATTTATCTATTTTTTATATATAATTATATTGATTGAGAACACTATGTACACTTGATAGGCGGTATTCTTGGGACATGAGCATTGTTGATCTCTTTTAAGGAGTTTTCTTAAGTGTGCAAGTGCACACCATGTGCCACTTACACAAAAAGTGTAAGTGTAAGGTGTAAGTATAAGTATAAGGTGTAAGTGTAAGGTGTAAGTGTAAGGTGTAAGGTGTAAGTGGGTTGCACATGGTGTGCAACCTCAAAAAAGGTGTAAGTGTAAGGTTTAATTTTTTACAAAAGGTGTAAGTGTAAGGTGTAAGTGTAAGGTATAAGGTGTAAGGTGTAAGTTGCACACTATAACCAAACCCCTCTTTTAATTAAGGATAACTTATTTAATATTATTGGTATTGAGACTGTTTAGTGTGGGGACATAATTTTTGAATGATAATTCGTGACCGAGGTGTCACCAAAGTGTCAGCCGAGGTGCCACGTATCCTGATCATGATGCCGAGATCGTTTTATCTGCAAAGATACCGGAATCCGAGATAAGCGAATAAGTGACAAGAGTTCTAGAATGAGAGAGGACTTCAGTTGGGTAAAGATAAGACTCTTAGAGAGTTTATTCCAATCCTACTGAGAGTCATTAGCAGTAATCCTAAGTTTATTGAAGCTAGGCTTCTATTGGGACTAGGTTTGTATTGGCTATAAAAGAGAGGCACCCCTATGGGTCTAAGGTATGCTTTTTATGTTCTGTCTAGTGAGTTAAGCACTATTGGTTATCTTTGAGAGATATTTGATTACTGACTTGATCGTCGGAGTGCCCTCGGGTGGACGAACCACCACCAGAATCTCTTCTTTTCTGTGACAGGTTGTTCAGGCTTAATCTATTCTACCAGTGTTCTCCAGCTGAGTACCAATTTGGCAGTGTGGTCTGAAATTAACACACAATTTGGCACTGTCAGTGGGAAAGACAGGAGAATAGATGACCAACGACGAACAGAAAGAGAAGGTTAGGGACGACACTCCTACTGGGAGTGGGAAACCTGTTGACCTTGATGTCGAAGAAGACAATTGCAACGAAGAGACTCGTGATAAGAATCACGGAGGAAAGGACCTCGGCCAGGAGGGCGGTGTATCGAAGAAATCGGACCGAAGTGGATATTATAACGAGAATGACCTCCAGGTATGGAAAGATAGATGCCTGTGGAGGGACGATGAGATGAAGGGAATGGCGGACAAATTGACGGACCTGCAAACGGTCGTTAATTTCTTGATGCAGAACAACGTCATGCAGCCACCGTTCCCGCCACAAGATAAGCCGATTCCAACGGCTAAGAAAGGTGCCCAGAAAGGGGGGCAGAAAACGGTTCCTGCAGTCCCTTAGCATGGCGGGACCAAGGGACATTCTCACCGGCCTTTGCGGGAGGTCGGGCATGGAGAATCCCAAAAGACACGATCTCGGCCTAGATGATTAGGTCCGAGAAGAGAAAAGCTCAACCTAAAGTGAGCAGATCTCAGATTCCAGAAGACAATATCTCGGCCTAGACGATTAAGTCCGAGAATAGAAAAGCTCAGCCTAAGTTAAAGACTTTTTATAGAAGGTTCACAAAGGAGTAGGTGGAAGCCATGCAGAGGGCTGGAGAATGATGCTTGGGAGTTGGAATTTTCAAGCTAAGATCGGTTTAACACTTGTTGAAATTTAAGAAAAATTTACAAGTTGAAGTTAAACTGATGTCATATTTAACACTTGTTGAAATTTTTAAGAAAAATTTACAAGTTGAAGTTAAACTGATGTCATATTTAACACTTGTTGAAATTTTTAAGAAAAATTTACAAGTTGAAGTTAAACTGATGTCATATTTAACACTTGTTGAAATTTTTAAGAAAAATTTACAAGTTGAAGTTAAACTCCTTGTTAATTGTAAATTGAATTAACCTTTATTAGTTGTAAATTGAATTAACTTTAAGGTCTTTCTAATTTGGGGCTTGTGTTATTTTGATCTTTGACTTTTCAATTGTGACACATGTGACCATGAATTTTGAATTTTGTTTCAAATAAGGACGATTGAATATAGCATTGCTCAATTTTAAGGGTAAAGTTGTTAGTTTGATAAAATATAAACTAATTTGATAAAACTAAATGTCAAAAAAATATTTTTAAAATTTTAAAAATTATTTCTACCTACTAAAGATAAAATTATATAAAACTGATCACTCTTTTATACATTTATTTATTTACCAAAATATTTTTTTAATTATGTATTTGGATGATTATGTAACGGGTGGTCGTTTTTATTTTTATTAAATTAGTTTTTATCTTTTCAAAAGTCAAATATGACGACAACTTTGATATCATTATTAAACTAATCCAGTAAATCAAAAAATTCAAAACCAAAAATATTTCATATATTAAATATATTGCTTACACATTAAAAATCTAACAATCATCCATTACATAATCATCATTCAAATACATAATGAAAATTAATTTGGTAAAAAATAATAATAAATGTATACAAGATTTATTAATTTTACATAATTTTATCTTTGGTGTGTAGAAATAATTTTTAGAACTTCAAAAATATTTTTTTGACATTTATTTTTGTCAAATTAATTTATATTTTATCAAATTGACGATTTTGCCCTTGAAATTGAGCAATGATATTTTCAATTGTTCTTATTTGGAACAAGATTCAAAATTCAGGGTCAAATATGTCACAATTGAAAAGTTAGGGATCAAAGTGACCAAAGTCCCAAACTATAAGAACTGTTAGTGTAATTCGTCCTAACTTTTATTTTTTGTTATTCACTACTTGCACATTTCTTATAAATTAAAAAAAATTAATCCATAGTCTATTTTTTTAGTTAAAAAAAAAAAAACTAAGGATATGATTATAAATTAATATACTCACAACAGAAATTGATAATTAGAAGTAGGGAATAAACAGTTTTTCAGAATTAATTTTTTTGAATTAAAATAAGTTACTAAAATTAGAAACTGCTTAAAATAAATTTAACCAAATAATTCAAAATAACTTTTTAA